ACACGTGAGCAACATGTATGGAGTCATACTTACAAGGTCAAGACATTTGGGAGGTTGTCGGTGGTGGTGAAGTTACACAACCAGCGGCAGAAGATGCCAATGACATCTTGCGAAAGTGGAAAATTAAAGCAGGCAAAGCAATGTTTGCTTTGAAGACTACAATTGAAGAAGAAATGTTGGAGCACATCCGGGATGCTAAAACACCAAAGGAAGCATGTGACACTTTTGTTACACTCTTTTCGAAGAGGAACGATACAAAATTGCAACTTCTCGATAATGAACTTCTATCAATGGCGCAACGCGACATGACGATTACCCAATACTTTCACAAGGTGAAGTCGATATGCCGCGAAATTTCAAAATTAGATCCGACAACTGCTATTGGGGAAGCCAGGATAAAAAGAATAATTGTCCATGGTTTGAGACCCGAATATCAAGGGTTTGTTGCCGCTGTACAGGGATGGCCGACACAACCATCGCTTGTTGAGTTCGAAAATTTGCTTGCAGGTCAAGAAGCCATGGCCAAGCAAATGAGAGGAGTATCGCTGAAGGGTAAAGTGGAAGCACTCTACACCAGCAAAAGCAGAGGCACTTTTTAATGGTATACTGGCAGTAGATCTAAAAAGGATGGTGACAAGTTGAAAAATTACCAAGGAAAAAGAGGCCCTTATTCAGGGGGAGCATCCAAGAATCGCGGTAATAGTAGAAAGTTCGATGGCAGTGTTACAACTGCGGGAAGATGGGTCACATGGCAAAAGACTGTTGGACCAAGAAAAATCATGTTGAAAGTAATACTGCTACTTCCAATTCGAAAGAGAATAGTGAAGATGGTTGGGATGCTGAAGCATTATTTGCTACGAAGGAAGAAGAATTAGCTCTCACGGTAACAACACCAGAACGAATTGACTACAAGAATGATTGGATCGTAGATTCGACTGCTCAAATCATATGACGGGTGACAAACAGAAGTTACAAAACATGTCTGAGTATAATGGAGGTCGTGTGGTGGTGACAGCTGACAACTCAAGGTTACCGATAACTCACATCGATAAGACGATAGTTACGTCTCGATATAATACTAACCAGGTGCAACTTCAAGATGTTTATCATGTCCCAGGAATGAAGAAAAATTTGTTATATGTGGCTCAACTAACATCATCAGGGCCATTATGTCTTATTTGGTCCCCAAGATGTAAAAGTTTATCGTGACGTCAAAATCTCAGAAACACCAACAATGGAGGGACGACGTTTGGAGTCAATTTACGTGATGTCAACAGAGTCTGCATATGTAGACAAGACGAGAAAAAATGAGACATCAGATCTATGGCACATGCGGTTAAGTCACGTTAGTTATTCCAAGCTAAGTGTGATGGTGAAGAAGTCAATGCTTAAGGGGCTTCCTCAACTAGACGTGAGAACAGACACAGTCTGTGCGGGATGCCAGTATGGTAAAGCACACCAATTACCATATGACGAGTCAAAGTTTAAAGCAAAAGAACCGTTGGAGTTGGTTCACTCTGATGTGTTCGGACCGGTTAAGCAACAGTCAATTAGCGGTATGCGGTACATGGTAACATTCATTGATGACTTCTCCAGGTATGTATGGGGTTTCTTTATGAAAGAAAAATCTGACACATTCTCAAAGTTTAAAGAGTTCAGAGACTCAGCTGAAGGAGAAGTGGGAAAGAAGATATGTTGCTTGCGCACAGATAACGGAGAAGAATATAGATCAAACGAGTTCTCTCAATACCTAAGGGAGTGTCGAATACGTCATCAGTACACTTGTGCCAACACGCCACAACAGAATGGTGTAGCATAAAGAAAAAACCGGCATCTTGCAGAAATTTGTCGAAGTATGCTATATGCAAAGAACGTACCTGGAAGGTTTTGGGCTGAAGCAATGAGGACTGCAGCCTTTGTGATCAACAAACTTCTTCAACCAAGATTAGAATTTGTTTCACCCTTTGAGAAACAATGGAACATAAAACCTACAGTTAGCTACTTTCGAGTATTTGAATGTGTATGTTATGTGTTTGTTCCTGATCATTTACGGAGCAAATTTGACAAGAAAGCTGTTAGATGTATCTTTGTGGGATACGACAGCCAGAGAAAGGGGTGGAAATGTTGTGATCCAATTAGTGGAAGATGCTACACGTCACGAAATATGGTATTTGATGAAGCATCTTCTTAGTGGTCCTCAGAGAAGGAGATGTTGCCAGATTCAAGAGAATTTGGAGACAAGCTACAACAAAAGATGTGGAGCATGTTGTTCAACTCCAAACAAGTTCAGATGAATCAGAAGATCCAAATGGATATGATGTCGAACAAAGAGTGACTCAGAATCCTTGGCAAACTGGCGTGTATCAACAACCAAACGAATAAGGATTATCCAGTGAAACAAAAGAATCAATTCCACAATCTCAACTCCGAAGATCAACAAGAAGACGAAGGCCAAATCCCAAATATGTCAATGTAGCCATAATTGAAGAAGTAACAGAGCCTAAGACGTTCTAAGAAACATCGCAGAGTTTTGAGTGGATGATAGCTATGAAAGAAGAGATCGATGCATTTCAGCAAAATCAAACTTGGGATCTTGTGCCAAAGATAAAAGATGTGAAACTCATATCTTGCAAGTAGTCCTGATGGGTCAATCGAGAGGTACAAGGCACGATTGGTAGCTCGTGGTTTTTCTCAACAATATAGACTAGACTATGATGAAACATTTAGTCCAGTGGCAAAACTTACAACCGTACGAGTTCTACTTGCACTTGCAGCCAACAAAGACTGGAATTTGTGGCAGATGGATTGAATAATGCTTTTCTTCATGGAGAGCTAGATCGAGAGATCTACATGACCCAATCAATGGGTTTTCAGAGTCAATATCATCCTGAACATGTGTGTAAGCTGCGAAAAGCACTCTACGGATTGAAACAAGCACATAGGGCGTGGTATGGTAAGATTGCTGAATTTCTAACGAAAAGTGGTTATTCAGTAACACCTGCAGATTCTAGCTTGTTTGTCAAAATCAATGAAGGTAAGCTAGCTATCGTGCTAGCCTACGTGGATGACTTAATCATAACCGGTGATGATGAGACAGAAATTCTTCAGACGAAGGAGAATTTATCAGTTCATTTTCAAATGAAAGAACTTGGACAACTTAAGCACTTCCTTGGTCTAGCGGTTGATCGCACACACGAAGGAATATTTCTATGTCAACAGAAATATGTTAAAGATTTGTTGAAGAGGTTTGGAATGCTCGAATGCAAGTCAACTTCAACGCCAATGGAACCAAATATCAAAATGTGTGCACATGAAGGAAAAGATTTGGAATATGCAACAATGTATCGACAACTGGTAGGTAGTCTGATCTACTTAACCTTGACCCGACCTGACATTTCTTATGCAGTTGGTGTGATGAGTCGGTATACGCAAAATCCAAAGAAGCCTCATTTGGAAGCAGTTCGACGAATACTGAGATATGTGAATAGTACAATTGACTATGGTCTTTTGTACAAGAAAGGTGAAGACTGCAAGTTAGTTGGTTATTGTGATGCTGATTATGCAGGAGATCATGACACCAGGAGATCAACAACTGTGTATGTGTTTAAGCTTGGCTCCGGAACAATTTCTTGGTGTAGCAAGAGACAACCAACGGTATCATTGTCAACCACTAAAGTTGAGTATCGAGCAGCAGCAATGGTATCTCAAGAGAGTACATGGTTGATACAGTTGATGAATAATCTACATCAACCAGTAGATTATGCAATTCCGTTGTATTGTAACAACCAATCGACAATTCAGCTGGCGGAGAATCCTGTTTTTCATGCAAGAACTAAACATGTGGAAGTACATTACCACTTTGTTAGGGAAAAAGTTTTGCAAGAAGAGATTGAGATGAGACAAATCAAGACAGATGAGCAAATTGCTGACTTGTTTATAAAAAGCTTGAGTGTTGGAAAGTTTGAACATTTCCGTCGTCAGCATGGCGTGATTCAAAGAATGGAGGCTAACATTGAGGGGGAGTGTTGAAAATTCAATATTAGCCTAAATAAGTTCACACCTAAATTACTTTGATGTCATTGCTTACATCAATTTAGTTTTGATGTCATTGCTATCATCAATTTAGTTAGGAGAAAATTAAGTATTTTTCTCATGTTTTAATTTCAATGGTTTAGATTATTTAGTGATTATTTTAATGAGTGATTTAGATTGTTTCTTGTAACATATAAATACTCTACTTGTATTTGAGTTTTATCATCCAACAATCAAAGCTTAATTATAAGCATTTGAAAGCTTTCTTAAGAGTTCTTTCCTTTTTGCAATTTTGTGAGATTATTCTAAAGAGAGTTTTTCTTCTTCTCGATCAATTAGAGTTTTTACTCTATTTTGATTCTACAAAATATTCATAAACAAAAATATATCCGATAGAGCTAATCTACACAGAAAACTTATGAATACAAAATATTGATACACCGTACAAATCTTGAACCCTATTGAAAAAGAAATGTTCATTATTTTGACAAGTGTTCAATGACAAGAAATTGTATGTATATAAGAATCTAGCATGACAATAAAGACAACTGTTACCACAATAATTTATACGTTTTTTATGGCTCTATTGAAAGAACCAAGGATTATACTATGCACATTATAAACCTTAATAATGATGATTCTCCAGCAGTGAAAGCATCAAGTGGAAAGTTAATTTGCAAACAGAAAAAAAAAAAAGAGAATATAAGAACTATGCGAAAAATTATTACCGTGACATAGTTTTCGCATCTCAGTGCAGAAGAGGTAATCAAAGATCATTCAGTACAAAATTGTAAAATTGAACCTATAGTGATATAATCATACAATTGATTTGTTAGTGACCCAATCAAAATTAAAGAAGGCGAACCGTGCCAACACACTATTCAAAAAACTGCAAGAGATCATACTCTTTTTCTCAAAAACAAAATAGCGCACATGAAAAATTAAAGTAGAATAATAGAAAATTTTACCTCGAGGCTAAAAAGCTAAATTGCTTTGGATCTAAAATGCTCTCGCTATTCCATCTTAATTTAACCTGAAAATAGTCCAAAAGGTCAATCCCATAGAAATCGTTTTTAGAACAAAAAAAGCAGAAAAAAGAGGTTGCAACAAAGAGGAAGAAAATGCTACAGATAGATTTTACAACAGCGTTTCTACCATAGGTGTAAAACACTCCATTATCCAGTCCATTAGCGAGAAAACATGTCAAAAACATATTATTGTAAAACTGTTTTCAACAAAAAGTACGGTTCACTCTTATGGCTTTCTTTTCAGTCACTTTCTCAGTAACCAAACGGATTTAAAACAAAGTACAAGACAGATTTAAACCACCATCAGTAACAAATTCAGAATCAAAGCAACATAACAGTTCGTAAAATTCTCAAACTACAAAGTACTTTACAGAAAAAGAATCAGCATTCACGTTAATGCAAGCTCAAAACTAAAACTAAAACAACAATATGATTATGCATATTTCAGGTTAATCAAAAGAAGAACAAATAAAACGAAAAAAATAGATGAAAATAGATCTGCTACATTTAAGGAGACAAAGAAAATTACACCTGAAGAAGCTAGAAGCTGAGGAACGCGAAGCAGAAAAAGAGAGAGAAAAAATATCTGAATCAATGGCAAATGAGAGATGAGGGGATTTACTTCTTAAAAAATAAGTTAATGTGGGGGAGAGTAGACGAAGGATGCCCCCACTTAATCTGATTCTTACGTAATTAATTAAATAGAAACTATTCATTAATTAAACATTTGTTAAAGCTTGAGATTGACTTTTAGAATAATTATTTCCTCATTTATAATATGCGGGTTTTTGGAGACAGCCGTTGTTTCGTTTTTACCTGAAAACTGGCTAAGCCGCTATATTAAGTTTGAGCAGCCGGTTTTCACGCCATTAAATAATAAAGCAGGCTTAATTATAAAATAAGTGTTTGAATTATATATTTTTTCAAAGAGATGCCTAATTTTTTTTATTTATCTATATATCAAACTTTACAAATGTTATCATTTTAGATATTTGAGTTGTAATGACCGTTAATTTTTTCGTTAAATAACACGTGTCGTGTTCAGATAATTTTAAACAAATTATTTATACAAACTTTAAATTATATTTTTAATAAAAACCCTAAAAAAATTAAAATTCTTTAAAAAAAAACCTCATACTTTGAAAACTCTAGATCTACTCCATATACTCACACTGTTATCGCCATCATTATCGTTGACTAAACCTACCCCGACTGCACCTCCACTAAACAACCACCCACGTGATGAGCAACCAACGAAATGCGTTTTAAGGGGAGGATGGCATAGAGAGTAGGGTGCTTGTCGATTTAAAGGGTTTTGGTGTTTAATGATTTAAAGGGTTTTGGTGTTTGACAAATGATAATGACAGCAGAGACGATGACGATGGGTGGGTGATTTGTTGACGATAATAGCAGTGGTGGTGATCGGTGTCAATAAGGAGAAATATAGATTTAGGGTTAGGGATTTTAGAATGATTTTATGGATTTGGTTTTTTTACCATTATAGAAAAATTAAGGTTTTTTTTATAAATATAATAATATTTTTAAGTTTTTAAATTTAAATAAAATTTTCTAAAGGTGACACGTGTCCTTTAATGATAAAATTTAATGGGTGTTAGGGTCCAAACACCTAAAGTTCGGGTACTTATTTTCTAATTAAGCATAAAATGAATGATAAATTATAAGATCGATCATTTTCGTTTAAGTTTTGTACACTTTTTTATTGAATTCAAATTATAATATGTGTTCGCTAAGATATCAAATAAGTCCCTAAACAATGATTTTTATATAATTTATTCCAAAAGCTTTTTAATTATTCATTTATCATTCAAAATATTTAGGTTGGGTCGGATCGAAACCCGTCGTGTTCGAGTCTCGTGCCCATCTCTACTCATCACATCATCTATAGTCCCAACTAGTTAGATTCATCCATCTAAAAGTAACTTTCAAATAACTATCGAGACATTATTTACATGTAAGAAAAAGGTGATGATTAACCTTCCAAAAAATGAAATGGTTGAATTTTATTGGTTGTTGCCACAAATGACGTAGTGAGCCAGTTTCGTCTAATAATTTTCCGTTTAGTATATTATTTAAAATTAAATATTTAGTTATATTATTTTATAAATAATGTTTTTAAAAACTAATATAGTGTTGAAAGAAATAAAATAAAATTTAATGAAAAATTATTCGTTAAGTGAAAATATTTAATTTTTATACTATTTTTTAAGTCTATTAGATAATATAAGAATAAATTTTAAACAAAAAGACAATCATGCAATTATCATTGTTCACCGTTAATTTTCTATTTATTTTATTAAGATACTTTTATTTTAATTAAAAATAAAAATCACTTCAAAATTGTAGTTTAATGTAATTTTATAAAAAGAAATGGGAATCAGCTAAGATTTTTCAAATTATAGGTTTAGGCAAGCAAACCGACTACGCGATGGAGGGCAAATGAAATGGTGGGTACATGCCAGCAAAGGTTGACGAATCGTCTAGAGAACCACGAGAATTTTAGGCCGAATTGAAAGGAAGGGAAACTGAACACGTGTATATTGAAGTCCCCTAAATCTCTCGTACCCCATTTTTCTACTTGACTTTTCTTTTTGGAGTCCATTCGTAAATAAAAAATTAACGAGAAAAGAATGCTTTACCAACTTTCCTACTCTTCATAGACACGTGTCAACCTTTCAAATTTAGATTCCAATGCGAGAGGATCAGTTTATTGATAAAAGGACGAAGATATTAGAGAGGAGTGGAGATATTTTGAAGGAAAAGTGGACCGTGAAAATCGATTGTTCTTACTCCTATATCTGTTAAGATATCAAGAATGAAAGAAACTAACAAATGTATATTCATCTTTTCAATATATCAACTAGTATTATATACACATGCTTGCACCGTATAACAACTCTAACAGCCTTAACTGAACGCCTAACTAACACTCTAATAGATTATCATCAAAGTCAACCACCTCACACAAACACTCATACACTCATCAAGCTTAACAGTCTAATATTCTCCCTACTCCTTTGACTTCTTCCTTCTTGTTTCTTCATCAACAAGGCAAAACACGCAATTGATCCTTGAACACCTCAAATGCTCTTTTTGTCAATGACTTGGTGAGTCCATCTGCCACTTGATGACTAGTTGGAACATAATTCACTTAAAGTTGTTTAGCTGCTACTTTCTCACGAACAAAATGCACATCCATATCCACATGTTTTGATTGTGCATGATGAACTGAATTTGTGCTTAAAGCAACATCACTCGTATTATCACACCAAATAATAGGTGCATTTCGATTTTCAACTCTTAGCTCACATAGTAATGAGCTCATCCATGTAACTTCTGCAGTAGCATCAGCTACACTTCTATATTCAGCCTCCATTGTAGACCTGGAGACAATTTTATGCTTCCTCGAGCACCAAACCACGGGGCATGCATCAAGAAACTATATGTCCATATACATATCGCCTATCATCAAGACTGCCACCCCAATCAGCATCAGCAAATGCCACAACTTCTAGTGATTTGCCAGTGCATGAGAACGTGAGACCATAGTCTAACGTTCCAGCTAAATATCGAAGTATCCTTTTTACTGCTGCCAAATGCAATTCTCGTGGAGCATGCATATATTAAGTTGCCTTGTTGACACTAAATGCAACATCAGGTCTCGTATGACAAACATATAGAAGAGCACAAAAAATGCTACGATATTCTCGAGCATTTGTTAATAGCTCACCAACTTCCTGAGTCAACTTTGGATCACCTACCATTGGAGTGGCTGAAGGCGTAGCACTCAACAAATATTTTCTTTCCAAAAGCTCAACTATGTATTTCTTCTGAGACAGCACCAAGGATTCCTTATTGCGTTTAACTTCAGTACCCAAGAAATAGGACAATTCTCCTAGATCCTTCAAGGAAAAGTCCTTATGCAAGGCTTGAACCACACCATCAATGTCATGAGAAGAACCACCTGTAATAATGATATCATCAACATAAACAAGGATATATGTATAGCAACCTCCATCATTATTTACAAAAAGAGACACATCAGCTCGAGATTCACTAAAACCCAACCGAATCAAATTGGCTTTAAGCTTGTCATGCCAATTTCTTGGTGCTTGTCGAAGTACATACAGTGCCTTGTTAAGTTTGCACACAAGTAGACTACCATCAGCAGTATACTCATCAAATCTAGGCGGTTGTATATGTTAACTAACAAGTCTCAAGCAGTAAATGCTTTTTGAGATGTTTCAGCAAATGGTTAAGGTGCAGTTTGATTTGCCTATAAAGGTTGTCCAAAGTGATTGGAAAGGTGAATATCTCAGGTTGTCGAGTTTATTTACTGAAAGTATGAATCACAGATAAGCTTACATGTCCACACACCTCTGAACAAAATGGAGTGGTTGAACGCAAGCATCGCCATGTTATAGCACTTGCTCTTGTTCTGCTTGCTCTAGCATCGATGTCAGTTAAGTTTTGGGCTTATGCAGTGGTTACTGCAGTTTATTTGATCAACAAGCTTCCTACAAGGGTATTGCAAGGAGTTTCACCATTTGAGAAATTGTTTCATAGGAAACCTGATTATGGACAGTTGAGGGTATTTGGTTGTCTTTGTTTTCCTCATTTGAGACCATATTTGAAGCATAAATTGGATTTTAGGTCAAAACCTTACACGTTTTTAGGCTATAGAACACAACATAAGGGGTTTCAATGTCTTGCTAATGATGGTAGGATTTATATTACAAGGCACGTGGTGTTTGATGAAATGCAATTTCCTTTTGCAGAAAAGTGTGTTCAATCGCCTGCTACATCAAGTATAGGTAAGCCACCTGATTCATTACAAATTGTAACTGATGTTCGTAAGTTTCATAGTGAAAGATGCGTTGCCTGGTCTGGTAGTGATATAGTGGCTAGTAGCAGTAGTTGTTCTAGTAATCCACCTGATGACAGTTCTGGTCCTAGAATAACAGAGGCAGCAACTAGTGTACCAGGTGTTGAGCAACAAGTAACAGGTGTAGTCCCATGTGCTGAGCAAGATGCTGGTACTGCTGAACAATATGATGTTGTCAGCTCTCATAGTGGTGTTCAATGGTTGAATCTTTGTGATACTTCTGCATCAAGTGCAAGTGATATGTGTGATGTACAAATAAACATGCATCCAATGATGACAAGGAGTAAGTGTGGAATATTTAAGCCAAAGGCTTATATTAGTTCTGGTGTTAATGAAGTTCCAGTTGATGTTTATGAAGCACTTAAGACTTCCAACTAGAGAGAAGCTATTTTAGGCTGAGGTTGATGCTCTACAGCGAAATAATGCCTGGTCACTTGTTGAGTTACCTGAAGAACGTGAGGTTGTTGGTTGCATGTGGCTATTTAGAGTAAAAAAGAACCCTGATGGGTCTGTTGAAAGGAATAAAGCTCGCCTTGTTGCTAAAGGATATTCACAAGTTAATGGTTAAGATTTTAAAGAAACATACAGTCTTGTTGTCAAATTTGCCACATTGAATGCAGTTCTTTTGATTGTTGTTGTAAAGAGTTGGCCCTTAAGACAAGTTTATGTGAATAATGCATTTCTGAATGATGATCTAACTGAGGATGTGTTTATGCAGTAGAAGCCTGGATTTGAGGAGTATAATGCTGATGGTAGTCTATTTGTGTGAAAACTTAACAAGGCATTGTATGGACTTCGACAAGCACCAAGAAATTGGCATGACAAGCTTAAAGCCAGTTTGATTCGGTTGGGTTTTAGTGAATCTCGAGCTGATGTGTCTCTTTTTGTAAATAATGATGGAGGTTGCTATACATATATCCTTGTTTATGTTGATGATATCATTATTACAGATGGTTCTTCTCATGACATTGATGGTGTGGTTCAAGCCTTGCATCAGGACTTTTCCTTGAAGGATCTAGGAGAATGTTAAGATATCAAGAATGAAAGAAACTAACAAATGTATATTCATATTTTCAATACATCAACTGATATTATATACACATGCTTGCACAGCTAGCTGTAACTGCACAACAACTTTAACAGCCTTTACCGAATGCTTAACTGAATGCCTAATTAACACTCTAACAGATTATCATCAAAGTCAACCACCTTACACAAACACTCATACACTCATCAAGCTTAACAATCTAATATTCTCCCTACTCCTTTGACTTCTTCATTCTTCATCAACAAGGCAAAACACGCAACTGATCCCTGAACACCTCAAATGCTCCTTTTTTCAATGACTTTGTGAGTCCGTCTGCCACTTGATGACTAGCTGGAACATAATTCACATGAAGTTGTTTAGCTGCTACTTTCTCACGAACAAAATGCGCATCCATATCCACATGTTTTGATTGTGCATGATGAACTGGATTTGTGCTTAAAGGAACAACACTCGTATTATCACACCAGATAATAGGTGCATTTTGATTTTCAACTCCTAGCTCACATAGTAATGAGCTCATCCATGTAACTTCTGCAGCAGCATCAACTACACTTCTATATTCAGCCTCCATTGTAGAACTGGATACACAAAGAAACTAACAAATGTATATTCATATTTTCAATACATCAACTGGTATTATATACACATGCTTGCACAACTAGTTGTAACTGCACGATAGCTCTAACAACCTTAACCGAATGCTTAACTTAACGCCTAACTAACAGTCTAACATATTATCATCAAAGTCAACTACCTCACGCAAACACTCATGCACTCATCAAGCTTAACAATCTAATAATATCTAACTAGAGGTAACACTCTTAATAAAAAAAAACTAGAGATAATACTCTATAATATAGTTGTTTAAATTTAAGTTCTTAAAATATTTTTATATATTTAAATTTTTAATACATAAAGTATAATGATACACTATTTTTTTATAATACCAAGTTTTAAAAAATATTTTTATTTGTTTATTAAAAAACTATCTACATTATTTTTTCAACTAATTTTTGTTATTTTTAACCAATACTACTCTTATAAACATCAAGTTTCATTTTTATTCTAAACACACAAAAATTGAGAATATTTCATGCCCCATTTGTTCTCTCCTCTCTTATTTGTTTTCTCTATCTTTCTTAAATTTGTTGAGCATTTCCAGTAAATGATTATTGTCGTTCATATATCACGTTTTTAGCACGAACGAACATATAAAAACCTTGAAAATATGTATATGAAAAAATATTCTTAAATACATTATATATACACGCCTCGAATTAATTTAATCCTTAATTTTTTCTTTATTTAACCCATTTTTAATATAAACACGTTTAAATGCAAATTGTATTTTAATTCATAAATGTATAGAGTTAATAATTTTACATTGTATTTAAAAAACGTAACATTTTTTTTCTATCAATTAATGACTAATCAAATTTTTTTATTATATAAAATTAATGACTCGTCAAAGGGAAGATGCATAGAATACCTAACACTTTGGTTTTCGAAGGCCCCCTTCAGTGCTATAAGTCTTTTTCTTTTTGGAAATTTTTAAGTGCTATAAGTCGAATGCAGTCGAAAGCGAATGTACGAGGAAAGTGGAAATTGGTTATTCTAAAAGAAACAAACATCGTCTAAAACAAGGTCCGTGTGTGTCAATAAGAATGGAGTGGTCCTAAAACAAGGTCCACGGGGAAGAGTTCAGCTTCAGGAAAACCCAAGGATGAAGAAGGGTTGCTTTCCTGTTGGGGTCATCTCAAGCTAAAGCTGCCATGCCCAAAAAGAAAAAATAAAAGATTTAGGCAATAGCATAATGGCAATTTTCTTGCAAAAACAACCAAGACCGATTGGTGGCTTTCGGTACGACCCTTCAAGCTATGCTCATAACTTCGACGATGGCAATGGAGGAGATGATCCTCAGGGTTCTTTATATCATGGATTCTCTCACAGATATGCCGCTCATGACTTTCTAGTATGTAAAGATCATATATCGGTATAATATATGTTTGTTTCTTTTTCTTTTTTACCCTTTTTTGTTTCAATTTTATTCTATGAACGAAGATCTATGTTTGTTTCATGTGTTGCATTATTGATACACAGCTGAAGGAAATGATTTGAAATATGCAGAGAAAAAAATCAATATAGAAATATAATGTATTTGAAAAAATAACATATTTACAAATGCTTCGCCCTTCTTTCCTTCTTGGAAATGTGCTTATCATCAAAATGTAGAGTTCTTGAAGCCTAAAATGTCTGATGTAGAGACTAAATATGAATCTAATAGACTGGACAACCGTCTACGACTATGCCTTTGGAAGTCGGACACGAAGCGAGATCGCAGTGCTCACCCTCACTTCCCCACCAAGATATACCAATTCCTTGCATTGTCAAAGTGAAATATATGAGCACTCCCATGAAAGCCAATCCAGCATCAAGAGCTGCCGACAGAACATAGTTGTATCTCTGCCACCAACCTTTTCGGTATTTAAAAACATAGTAATTGAAGATGAATCCAATTATAAGATAGCAATTGAAGTTCAATGATGTAGCTGGTGGCATTACAGCTGTCGCGCCCAAGAGCACCGGAAGATTGATAAGTGGTATCCATTTCTGGTCAGGGAAAGCTTTGTGGAATAGCCATACCACGACAGGTCCCAAGGCCCCTCCCAGGAAGAACCAGTTGAGAGCATAGTAGTTCCCCAAAGGACCAAAGATCCTTTTCGGTCCAACCAGACCCCATATAACCGATGCATCGAAGAATACTCTGTCAGAGGGACATGTCCATGGACTGTCGGGAGGAAGTAGGTGATCCTGGCATATGTTCTCAACTGTAGTCAGCAGCCACCATGCCACTGCAAGGTTCACTGTTCCAGCTATCACAGTTCCTATACCCTTTCAGTAGAATACAAATTGGAGAAGGAATCAGCAAATAGAGTAATCCTTTACTAAGTATCAAATCATTTTCTTATATCTTTTAAATTGTCATCAGCATTTGTTACCTGCTATACTCGATTATTTTTCAATCTTTTTGTTTTTTTCAATTGTCTTTATTTACCTTAAACATTCGCTTTCTGCTTTAGACATACCTGGACTACAAACATCGATCTGGGGGGAATCTTCATATAATGGCCGAGCTTGAAATCATTTAGGAAGGAAACTGCTTGTGTCATGCTTATATATCCGAAGGTTTTGAAGCAAACATTGGCTATTGGTTTTCCTGGTAACACGTAACCCATGATGTACTCACTTATGACATTAAGTCCTGGTGACTAGCAACAAAAAGAGCCAAAATCAGCAAATGAGTACCAAAAGGATACAAAATGGTATTCTGGAAAATCATTCGATAACTCTAAAGATTTTTTTCATGTGTTTGAAAGCTTTTGAAGGATTATATCAGTGTGCTCATGACGGAATATGTGTTGGACATGGATACAGGACACATATACTAAAAAAAAAAAGCCAACGATAAGAGCAGATTGCATATAAAAAAAGTGCAAGCTTTCTACCTGATTTGTAGTGGCAGTTATGATGCTGACAGGAAGAGTGAAAGCTAAAGCAAGAGCAGCTGCAAAGAGGAGTCCCCACCAAGGCATTTGGATTTGAAGTTTCATGAAAATACATAATGCGAGAGAGAGCACCAATGTCGAGACAAGCAATAGGTAAAACCACCAGTTTGGTATGTTCTTATACTTCTTCATTAACCTTGTATGGATATCTTCTTTTCCCTTGAAAGAAGCTCTTAGTTGTGCATATATCTCCCTGTTCGAAACATTCAACACAAATTTAGGTCAAAGATCACATAACTTGAGACCAAAAGACACCCAAAACTAGGAATGAAACAATAAATGAAACGCTCTTGGATTACTCACTTTCCGTTGAAAACAGCCACATGAGAAAGAGTGGCTATAATGGCGGCAAAGCCAATACCGTAAGTGAGAGTAAAGAAGATGCTCAGGTTTACACGTCCCTGCTTCTCATAAGCTGGCATTTCGATTTCAAAATTAGGATTCACGATGCCCGATATATTGTATGGTTCCCCTTTGTTATTATACAAATGCGAGGAGAAAATTGGGAAGGTGCGAGCATTGTAAAGATTTAGTCCCCAGTAGGAAATTGGAAGCACGACATACATGGATAACGCAAAGCCTACAAAGATATTGACAAGTGCGAAGAATGGGGTGACCAGAGGGCTGCCGAGGAAGGATGCGATGACAGACCAGTCAAGTGCAAAGGATCCGAAGCCGATCCCGAGCATTCCCGATCCGATTTGATGGGCTGTTACTGACTTGGGAAATGCCCAGCAGACCCATGAAATGGTTGACAGTGTCTGGAACAAGTAGCCTGGAAATACATACCAGGAGAAACTGCAAGCAAGTGCGATCAAGAAGAATTTCCCTCGAGACATGCGACTGCCGTCATTCTCATGCATGGCCCTGTACAATTTATGTATGAAGATTATTTGGTAGATTGTGAGTTTTTCATTTCCTTCGTACATTAAGAACAAAATATAAGCAATATTAAGTTCTTTTAAAAAACTTCAATAAAATAATCTATAATTTCCATTGATGCAATGAAAGATCGAAAGTAGTGTCATTCGATGACAAACAGCCAGAAATGGACGGCTTGCATGATAGGATGAAAACTAGAACGCTATTAAATTGAACAGCCTGAAAGGTTAAAAGTCTGAAACTTAATAGTAGTTTACTAGGATCAAGAGGCATACACCAAAGCATAAACGACACCGTTCAACTGTTCGCTTTACCTGAAAAGAGAAACTTGAACCAGGCAATTTGGCCACCACATTGCAGCAGGTTCCACCACGAACTTCCTCATAATCCCCGCCCATCCATACCCCAACACCTGTCCATAATGTTACTATTTTTAACAAAAGAGTTTCAATAACCAATTCATTTCGATATAGTGGAAATTCTAACCTGTGTGGTGATGACTAGAATCCAACTAGCCAAGAAACTGATATTTCTATGATAAAAGCCCGAATAATATTTACGATGCTGATAGCATAAGCCGTGCCGCCGCCAAACCCCGCCCCAGCATTGGCAAAGATAGAGATCAACACGTGCTCTTTAACGTTAAATGGGCCCGGGTTAAGCGTAAACACCAGGTTCCCAACGGGGATCTTAAACTTGGTGGTCGGTAGCACTTTAGCCATGAATTTTCCAACGGGGAGTGACGCCACCTGGATGGATATCATGGTAACCTGGAGTGGCTCCGACCGGTAACTGAAGAACGTGTTGAGGAACGAAAGGAGAACACACGAGAAGACTCCGATGAACCACATTCGGAATGTCCAAACAGGGAGCGTAGTGTCATCGTCGTTAGAAACAGTTAGACGAACTTCTTCGATGGGGGAAATATCATCTCCGTCGGTTGCCTGAACGGCGGCGCCGTCGTCGACGCTGGCTGATTCTATCTCGAGAGACGACATCGAGAGTGTGGGTGGCTTTTTTGGGGGGTGTTCGCTAGAGGGATAAGATTAAAAAAACGGGTGATTTTCTTAACCGTGGGGGATTTCTGAAGGTGATTCTCACGTATAAATTTGTTTCACAGATTCTATGGGATTCTTTTACTTGAACTCCCATCTCCTGAATAATGCATTACCGAGCGATAAACAAGCTAAAGAGAAACTCTTTAAGAATTGTATGTGGACGGTTTCTTGATTCCTGGATTTATACTTCCAACAAACTGGCTTGTACAATAATACTCATTCGGCTTTTAGTTAAAATAACTTTTAATAAAAGTTTTATTTAAATTTTAATTGTTTGATGTTATTATTAGAAGTTAAATTTGAAAAGATAAAATATTGATTTTTAAACTTATTAATATTATAATGTATAAAATATATTAATTTAAACTATAATAAAAATATAAGAATTATTTTAAGATAACTCGTTAATAATATTTTTATAAATTAAATATTTTATTAAAAATATAATAATAATAATTTTTAACACCTGCATATAAAATTATTATGAAATAATAATTTAAATATTTGTCTTGACAAAAATTATTATAAAAAAATACATTAGTGCTTGTAAATTAAAATGAATTTATTAAAGTGAATTTAACATTTGGATTTTAAGATGATATTTTAATAATTTCAATTCAACCACAATCACTCTTTAAAATTTCAAAATAAAATAATTTGAATGATATATTTATTATTTTAACCATTAAAATAATATATATTATAAATAAATCATAATTATATTCATTTAAATTATAATAAAATATAAAAATACAAATAAAAATATATTTTTATAATAACTCACTATTAATATTTTAATATATAAACGATGAATTTTATTTCCTTTTAAGTAAATTATTAAGTGATAAATTATTTTTTAAGGATGTTAATATTAAATTATTAAAATAAAATATAAATACATAATTGAGAGGTCCTCATGCATTAATAAGAGTAAAATTATAATTTGTTCCCAAAAGATGTGTTGAAAATAAAAAAAAAGTTACAAATCCTAGCTTTTGAGGATGGTTTGAAACCACCGTTTTCATCGTATTTTTTTCATTTTTACTAGTTTAACATTGATTTTGTAGTAAAAACAAATTTTTTAGCTAAAAATGTTTTTAAAAAGTCACACCAAACGGGACCATAGTGATATTAAAAATTAGATTTTTAAACATCAATAATAACATACGTTCAAAAATTATGCTTTCATTCAAATATGAATTAAATGACCTCAATGATAGATGGAATTGGTGTTTTTGAGATCTCGGGTTCGAGCACAAGAAATATTAAAGGTGTGAACGTTTAATGTCAAATGATTGATATTTATTTTTAAATAGATATTATCTTATAGTTTCTCCATATTTATAAATAAATATATATATATAATTTGTACGTAAATGACTGTTTTGATTCATTCAATTGGTGAGACTTCAGAAAATAAAGTAAAAAAGTAGCAGACTTCAACATATTACAATATTAAACGTGAAGCTTAAAATGTTGGGCACCCGAAATCCCCTTTGCAGTGGGGCAATATGCTAGATCACAGTGCTCGGGGAAAATATCAGGACTGGCACCCCAACAGTTCAAACTCTTATTCTCAATCCCCAGTGCAAAGTAAAGCAGCACTGTCATGAACGCTACCCCTGCATCCAAAGCTGCTGATAGGATGTAGTTATATCTCTTGCCACCATAGCTTTCGATACCTGAATACAAAGAAGTTGAAGATAGTTATAACAATAATCCAGGAAGAATAGTTCACTGTCGTTTCCGGTGGCATGTAGCCGGTTGCGCCTAAAAGCACTGGTAGATTGATAAGGGGGATCCATGTCTGATTTGGGAATGCCTTGTGCAAGAGCCATACTACAACGGGTCCCAAAAGGCCTCCTAGGAAGAACCAGTTAAGTGATGAGTACATCCCTTGAGAGCCGAAAATCTTTTTCGGTCCGGCCAAACCCAGATAACAGATGCGTCGAAGAAGACCCTGTCGCTGGGGCATGTCCAAGGACTATTTGTTGGGAGAAGATTTCGATGACATATGTTATCGATAGAAGTTAGAAGCCACCAGGCAACTCCAACGTTTACTGTTCCGGCTAACATAGTTCCAATGAACTGATATGCAAATGGAACTATGGAAATATGTAAGAATTATGGAAGTAAATGCAGAGAAATTAATCTATAGAAGTAAACTATAATACCTGTGTCGTAACCGGTTTTCGCCCGGGCACGAAATTTTTACTCGGCGGGAAAATTGATGTGAATAAATGGTTTTGAAAATAATTTGGGAGTCGCCATCGGCCTTTTGGGTTAGGTAGGTCGAATACCTAAAAATTATCTTTTAAAAGAGTTTTAAGAAAACATCAGTTAAAAGATGAACTGATATGCATTTATAACCAAAAATTCGTTCTTTTTAATAATAAAAAGGGATTCGTGGTCGGTTACGTTTAGGGAAAGATTAGCACCCCTACAACGCCCAAAATTGGTACTTTTTAATTATAAATTGTCTCTATTATTAGAAATTAAAATTCAAATATATTTAATTTATAATCCTATTATTTCAAAATTATAATTATAAGAAAAAAATAATTTATATATATTTATAAATAAAATGTTTATTTATTTAGAAATATCAGAAAAGGACTTCTAGGTGCCTTAAGACAGCTCTTTTCTTCGATATTAATAAATATTAATATAATAATTTAAATAAAATTAAATTATAATTTTTTTATAATATTTAATTTTAAAATACCAGAATAGGACATCCAGTTGTATTAAGACTGCCCTTTTCTTCGATATTGAAAAATAAATATTAATATAATTTATGTAAAAAAAATAAATTATTATTTATTATATATATATTTATATGACTACATAAAATAATATTTAAATATATAAACAAGTAAATTAAAACAATAAAAATACAATTAGAACTATATATTTAAAAGCAGTAAAATAAAAGAAAATATTTAAAATTAGTGACTAAATTATAATTTAAAATTAAATACCTAATTCATAATTATTTAAAATTATAAGGATTAAACATGCTATTTTATTTATTAATTTAGTGACTAAAATAAAATTATATAAAAATCGAATATCATATTAAAATAAATTAAAAATATATACTCGTGATTAAAATATTAATTATTAAAATTAAAGGACTAAATATGATATTTATCCTAAATATATTATTTTAATATAAAGGACTAAAATAAATAAAACTAAAATTAAAGAACCGAATTAAAAGGATTATAAATTGATTTAGTGACTAAAATGTAAAGTTTACAAATTAGGATGGTTGCGGACGGGATTTAACAATTAAAAATTACACAAATAACCCTCCCCGAAACGACGTCGTTCGGGAAGGGCTATTTAAAGCCAGAAACGGCTGGCTCTTCGGGCCAGCTCTCTCATTCTCCATTTATCATTCTCTCTCTAACTGAGAAAGAATGAAAAAAGCTCTCCCTTCTCTCTAGCTTCCCTCATCGGAGGGAAGCCGGTCACCTGGCGACAGCCGTCTGCCACCGGATGCGGTGGCCGGAAAAAATTATTTTTACACCACCATATAGATCGGACCGTCCTAATGACGGTTCCGATGCTCTTTTCTCCTAAACAGCTCCCGATCGGAGCAAATCTAAGAAAGTACCTTCGATTTTCGAAGGTTTTGGTGACGTTTGAAGAGGTCCGGTGGTCGTGGCTTCCTCGGTAAGCTTCTCTCCTTTCTTTTTTTTTCTATTTTTGCTGGTTGTTGTGTTGTTGCTCTCCGTGTCTCTCTTTTTTTTCAGGGGCTCGGTGGCTTTTATAGCCACTACCGGTGATGGCTTCGGACCGGTCCAAAAGGGGTTCTTCGGTGAGTCACCGGACTTCCAGTGGTGACTCACCGTTTAGGGAAGACGTGTGCGGCTACGGAGATGGTGGGAGCAGCTGGAAGCTGAAGCAGTGCCGCGTGGTCTTCTGGAAGCTACGGCGGCGGCTGGGACGTGTCCCTAGGGTATCATCACCCTAGGGTTTCCTGCTGGAACCATCTGGACCGTTGGATCTAAGTTAGATCCAACAGCTGAGAAGCAAGGCGGCGGCTGGCTGAGATACAAACCCTAAAGGGGTTTTAGGGTTTTTTTTTTGGGCCAGTCTGTTGGGCCTATAATATTATTTGTAATTATTTTTTAATAATAATAATAATAATATATATAATAATTATAATAATAATTATAATAATAATAATAATTATAGTTATAAAAAAATTAGTATCTTCAACCTGAACCAGGAACATTGATCTCGGAGGGATTTTCATGTAATGACCAAGCTTGAAATCACTAAGAAAAGACACTGCATGAGCCATGCTCATGTACCCATAGGTCTTGAAACACACATTGGCTATTGGTTGTCCAGGCAATATTACTCCCATTATATACTCTGTAATGATATTAAGCCCTGGTGTCTGCAGGTAAATAACATAAACAATCATTAATTGAGTGAAAATGTTTAAGAACATTATCCTTGTTGATAAGAAAAACTGTCATCTTAAATTTACTTGATTTGTCGTGGCAGATATTATGCTGATAGGCAAAGTGAAAAAGAGAGAAAGTGCAGCAGCAAATATCAGCCCCCACCAAGTCATTTGGACTTCCTTTTTGAGGAAGATGAAGAGTGCAAGACCGACAAGAATGGAGACAGCAAGAAGCAAATAAAACCACCATGAAGGTATGTCCTTATAGGTTCTCGTTCACTTTGTGTGAACATCAGCCTTTTTCCTTGAAGAAGCTCGATATCGAATATAGATCTCCCTGTAATCAACTTGGTTTTTTTTAATTATTAAGGATGGATATCAAACGTAACAATGAAGTTTCCTTCTGAAATATCTAAACAATTCTTAGCTTCCATAGAACAAGGCCACATGTGTTACCGTGGAAGCAATAGTGGCGAACCCAAATTCATAGGTGATAGCGAAGAAAGTACTCAAATGGACCCTCCCTATCTTATCATACTCTTGCACGTCAAGCTTGAACTTGTCGTTAACGATCTTTGAAATGTTATAAGACTGACCTTCAGCGGTGAACAAGTCCGATGAATATATGGGAAAAGTTATCGCGTTGAATAGGTTAAGCCCCCAGTAAGAAACTGGCATCACAAAGTATATTATCAAGGCATATCCTATGAAGACGTTTGCAATGGCGAAGAAAGGGGAAACAAGTGGGCTAAACAAGAAAGAGGAAACCGTCGTCCAGTCAAGCGTGAAGGCCCCTATGCCGAGACCGTTCATGCCGGAGCCTATTTGGTGGGCGGTCACCGAATGGGGGAAGGCCAAGCACACCCAAGAGATGCTTTGCAATGTTAGGAAGAAGTAACCTGGGAAAATATACCAGCAGAAGCTACAAACTAATGCAATCACAAAGAATTTCACTCGTGATATGCGGAGCTTGCCATCGCTATTTTCTTCTTTTTCGTGCAAAGTCCTGGAATATCATGATCAGCAGTAAAATTCATCACAAGTGTACAACATTGTTGAATGTTTTCGCTAAACAAAAGTATTTTACTGAAGACTAAAGCAATTACCTGAAGAGAGAGAAACTTGAACGAGGGTTGAAGACCACCACATATGCGCCGGCTCGACCACAAACTTTCTCAGTAGCCCCGCCCATCCATATCCCATAACCTGTGTAGTGATGATAAGAAGCCAACTAGCGAAGAAAGAGATGCTCCTTCCATAAAACGCCTTGATAATGGTAACAATACCAACAGCATAAACAGTGTCGTTCCCGAAAGCACTCCCAGCATTAGCAAATATCGTGATCAAAACGTGCTCCTTCATGTTAAACGGCCCGGGGTTAAGCGAGAATTCCCTCGAACCAAACCCGGGTATACGTAACTTGGTCGTAGGAAGAGCCGAAGCCATGAACCGTCCGATGGGGAGAGTCGCCACCTGGACGGTGATTTGGGTGATGACGAGCGGCTCGGTAGCCGAAAAACTGGTTCAGGAAGGAAAGAAGGGTGCAAGAGAAGAGACCCAAGAACCACATGCGGAAAGTCCATACTGGGAGTGAAGGATCATCGGTGTTGGGCACTGTTAAACGAACTTCTTCTATCGGAGACAGCTCGCTTTCATCAACCAAACCCTCCTCTTTGATCGCTTTCTCATCTATTTTCGGTTTTGCTTCAATTTCCATAGCTCCCTCCCATTGTGAGCAATGATCAAAACCAAAGAGAAAAGGGATACAGATGAAAGAGTGTTAAGCTGCAATGCCTTGCTTCGTGTTTAGCACATCAATGTCACCTTTTATTGTCCACTATGCCTTTAGTTGTCCCCGATAAATGTTCACTTTCATTGTGTTTATTTTAATTATAATTATCTTTTACAAATCAAAGCTCGTTTGTGGAAAAAAAAACAAATCGTTTATTAGAATTTAGAATGACGAAAAGAAAACTACATAATTGTAAGGTCAACTTCTTCGATATCGATGATTTCTATGTGGTTGTTGAAGTTGTTTAATTCGATAAGATTGGTTGACAAAGTTACAAATTAATGGGTTGACAATACGAAGGTAACGTCAATTTGGAAATAAAAGAAACAATAAGAGAGGTCATGGTTTCCCGAAGTGTATAACTAGTTGTTGCTGTTAGAGATAATCCGTTCGAGCATCAACGACTACAATATGGTGATTAAACATTCATTGACAAATGATTGAGAGTATTTGAAATAAATACTACTTTGTAAACACCTTAACTTAATCAAAAAAGTGTTATTGCTACTTAGAGCAAGTTTGACACTTTTTTTGAAAAATGACTTTTAAAAGTGATGTAGAAATAAACTTTTAAAAGTGTTATACAAAAAATGCAGTTTAAATTTAACAGTTTGAGATTATTGTTGAAAATTGAGTTTGAAAAGATAAAATGTATATTATAGATATTATGTTATAAATAAAAAATATAACATTTAAATTATATTTACACTTATTAATACTATAAATTATAAGATATATCAACTTAAGTTGTAATAAAAATATAAAAAGAATAGATTAAAATAACTCATTAATAATATTTTTATATATAAAATATTTTATTAAAAATATATTATCAATACTTTTTAACATGCTAATATAAAATTATTATAAAATAATAATTTAAATATTTGTTTTGACTAAAAGAATATTAAAAAAATATTAGTAATTAAAATAAATTATTAAGTAATAAATTATTTTTTAAGAATGTTAGTATTAAATTATTAAAATAAAATATAAATATAATTGGGTGAAGCCCATGCATTACTAAGAGTAAAATTATAATTTGCTTCCAAACACAAAATTGAAATAATAAAAGATAAAAATCTTAACTTTTGTAGTTGGTTTGAAACCAAAATTTTTACCGTAATTTTTTTTTATTTTTCATCCATTTGGTATTAATTTTACAGTCGAAACGGACTTTTTATCATAGTATTAATTATAATTATGGGAGTCATCACTTAATTGTTCATTACGTTGTAAGTTGTAATACAGCCAGCTATGGTTCATATAATGGGAAAAACGGCTAGATTCTGAAACTCCATAGATTCCAATTGCTTCGGGCAAAGACTAATTAAATATTATAAATTAAATTGTTTCAGCCAGCGTTTATTTCAAGGAAAATATAGTATATGAGTTTTTTTTTTTAATAAATGTGATAATTTTTAGTTTTGTTTAAACTTATAATAGGGGTAAATTACAAATTTAATCCATATATCTAAATTTGAAATCTTTTTATTTTTAAAATTTTAGTTATGATTGAAATCTTAATTGTTAGATGTATTAAGTTAAATTTTATTATTTTGTCTTATATTGTGTATAAGTTATTAATTTATTTTATTATATTTAATTTATTCATTTTAAGTCATTGTAATTTAATTATATTACTCATGTACTATTGGAATTAACTAATACCGAAATTTAAAATATTAAAAATTTCGAAAACTAAAATTGATAAATTAGTGTAACTAATAAATATATAAATTATGCATTATACATAATTTAATGTCGGAATTTAACCTAAAATAATAAAGGTTGATTCAAATTTATTATATAAAAATATAATGTGAATTTAAGATAAACAAAAAATTAATTCCATTTGTTACTAGAGGTCACGAGTTCGAGCACCAACTATTGTAGTATGATGATTGAGTGTCCATTTCTAAATGGTTGAAAAATATTTAGAACATATACTAGTTTGTAATCACCTTATCTTAATAAGAAAATTTGTGTGAATCTTATTATATAAAATTTTAATATTTTTTTATTAAAAAAATCATGTTAGTCAGGTTTTGATCATTATGATAGTAAGGATATTCGAGTTTTATTGTAAAAACCCATATAACGTGTGGATTTGGGGTAGATGAAAATATGATAAAGTTATTATCGTCATATGAAACTTGAATAATAACGAAAGAGTATTTCACGACAGCTGTGGAGTCCTCCATGGAAGATCTGCATGGGAAAGCTGTAGCCTTGCATTACTTTATAAGCCGGGTATTACTGAGGTAGATTAATACCTTTGGCTGAACCAAGCTTCAATTCTCAACCATATGACTTCCCGCAACTATCACTTAACTTATAACTTTCGCCAACAGATCAACGAATAATAGGATGGCAGCGGTGGTGTCACTATCATTCTACAGAATTGTATTTTCTTTGTCTACTTCCAGCGAGGTTTAAGGATTCTATAACCTGAAAAAGGCTTACGTGAAAGAAATCAACTACTTGATTTACAGGCATTTCGAAAGTCTATTTTTCTTATAAAAAATTGAACACTGTCAAAGTTAACACCATTCAAAAAATCAAATTAAATTGTTGAAAAGTTCCATAAGAAATCGAACAATTGACCAAAACCTATAAAAATGTACTGTGCAATCTACTATATTGTAATTATAACTTGACAAACAAAACAAACTATCAATTTGCTATTCAATTCACACGGAAGAAGTTGGGGGAGGAACCTTAGGGTTCACCGCAACCTTACCATCTTGATTTAACGCCGGAACACCACCCACTGGTGTCATTAGCGTCACCACCTGATATGGCGCCGCCGTGTAATACACCTGTCTTCCAGCCCCATCATAAGCCACCTGTACATACCCAGAATCAGAAACCCCACCCTTCGATTGCATAACTGGGATTCCCTCAGCGTAAGTACCAACCTTTGAGGCTGGCACCGCATTGTAAACCGGTTGCTCTTGGTAAATATCTTGAACAACATGTTGTACGCCGTAGTAAGGTTGACCAGCTGGTACGGTCACGTGTCGTATCGTTGGAGGCTGCTGATAAACACCAGCCACGGAAGCTGGAATTAGGTAAACCGGTCGGTTTACCGGGGCAGCGGCTGTAGTTACCGTATAAGCAGCGTTGGTTAAATAAGCCGTTTGAACCGGAATTTGTAACGGAGCTGATACGGGTACTGGTGAAGCGGCGATTTTATCAGACGTTTTAGAATAATCTTGAGTATTGTAAGCTTTAGCGTTTGGTTCATCAAATTTTCTCTGCAAAATGCTTTGTTCTTGAGTTGCAGCAATATGCATCCTCTGTAACTCCTGGATCTGTTTCTGGATCTCCGCTGGAAACATCATCAGGTCAGCGATCACATGTCGGTCCTCCGATCCGCAGTTCGATCCCACTGTCACATCCTTCACAACAACCTCCTGTGGAACCGCCGCAATCGGAGGAGGGACAGAATCCGGCATCTTCACCTTATCCAAACCGAAGAGGAAATCGGGATTTGTTGCCGGCACAGCAGCAGCTGGAGGCGAAGAAGCGTCAAGATTTTGAATCTGAACCGAATTCAAGGCGTCAACAAACCATTGCCGCTCAGACTTCGGTTCACTCCCTTCAAATCCTGGAGTCACTAACGGTGCGTTCAACGGGAATAAAAACAGCCTCAACCGGGCCGGTTTGGCGGAGACACGATGCGTCCGACCATATTCCACCATCATATGCTCCAGATCTTCATCATTCGTAACGGAAATCAAAGCGTCGAGACTTTCACCGGGAAGCCGATACTTGAAACAAACCTCACAATCCCCACCGTGGAGAGAAGATAACTTAGCCATTATAGCAGAAAACTTTATGTTGCGATCAACAGCCAGGATCTTCGTATCTCCACCAACGTAAGCGAGCTGGTTATCGTGTGAACGCGACTGGATTTTGCCCCCATAACTGTACATAAACTTAACCTTTTTATTAGCATTATTAGTAGCGTTCATCAACGACGGGTCGTCCCATGACGGGTTTTCGCATTCCATTTCTCGAGAATGAGGCGAAGAATCGCCGGATTATGGATAAGAAGAGTAGGGGAAGTTTTCCATGGGATTAATTTTGAGAGGTTTGAGGGATTTGGTCTTAGGGTTCCATTAAAAGATGAAAAACGGCGGAGAATTGAAGTTTGATTATGACTTAAAGAACAATGTGGATGTAGTGGGCCCAGGTGGAGCTGGTCGGATTGGAAATAAATTATTTAGAAGCGTGAAAGCAAATGTTTTTCTCCTATCATAAAGTTTTAATTACAGGGCAATTATAATTTTAATATTTATTTATGATTTGATATTTGATATTTTTATTTTTTAATGTAATTAGTTATTTATTTATAAGTTAAGGTGATTATAAATAGTATTTATTTTAAATATATTATTTATTAATTTGATAATGAACGTTTAATCATTTTATTGTATTAATTGATGTTTAAACTCGTGATCTCTAAAAATAATAACAATTTTTTAAACACTGATATAAATTGATTCGAATATAGATATTTATTTTTCATGAAATTAAATATTTAAATTTTAAGATTACATTTTAAATTTTAATTCTTATTTTTTTACATATTTAATGAATATTATCTATTTAATTAAATGATTATAAAAGTGTACGAATTCAATTAAAATTATTTAATTTAAAGATTAAATATTATTTTATCTCATTTTTTTTTAAAATAACCAGGATAATTCATTTATCGAAAATCATATCAACAAACGTTTTGTCAATTATAGACTGAACAATTACAGGCGAGACTATCGAAAATAGAATATAACAATGATCACTTAGAAATAATCTATAAACAAAACCATTAACAAATGAAGCAACGATGTACGTAAACTGAACACACCAACAACATTGAACATCAAACATAGAGGAGATAAACTTAAAAAAAATCAAAATGGCCAACGGATAAAGTGATCTCCCCTTAACAACAATCTGATCGGCACATATATGCGATAACCAACGAACTGTCTTGTAAAAATTAATAGAGGAATCATGCAACAGGAAAGTAACAACCAGATAATCAAGGAAAATAAAAATCGAACAGAAAACCATTAAAAAAACTTACACCGAAAGTTCAAAATATCGATATGTATGATAATAAAATTAGCTCACCCTATTCCCATATGTAATAGAGTAAGGGGGATGTAGGGTAGTAGGCTGCCTCCAACGCTAGGTTGGAGCAACTTCCGTGGAAGACCTCCGACAATTATGAATTGCACACCGTGAGACTTGATCACACGACCATAAAATTAAGAGTCTTATACTCTACCAACTGAGCTGGACGGACAATTTATTAATATGCATGAGACCTTTTACCAAAAAAAATCAAAAGTATTATATAATAAATATGATAAAATATAACCAAAAAAAATGACATAATGGTAGTCAGAGAAGACTACCACTGCCATGAATGTAGAAATTTGAAAACCACATAAGAGCATGGTTTTTAGAACTGGATCGGTTAGCGAACCGATCATACTATCGATTTATTAGTTCAATCGGTCGAATCGGTTTGATTGGTCGGAAGAATCGGACGACGCTAGAATTATTTAAAAAATTAAATAAAAATACAAAAAATATTTAATAAAAAATAATTTTTTATATCACAAGTCATATTCAAAGCAAGTCATAACATATATAAGTTAAAAACCATAAAATCAAGTGAAACAAAATGATTCGAATTAACTACAACATAATATTTAAGGTAAAACATATTAAATAATAAATATAATTATATAACTATAATTAAAAAATAAATTTGGGGCTAAAAAATCATAACAAAATGATATTGTTTGGTTTAATTTTTTTAAAAAAACAATCACACATGGCTAAGAAACATAGAAGAGCATCCCAAAAGTCTAAAGAGTAAAAATATAAAAAACAAAACAATCTCACATGGCTAAGAAACATAGAAGAACATCTCAACTAACTTCTATAAATAATAGAGGTAATTTGACATTCAAAATCATAGAGCCTTTTGGTGAGTATTAAGTGAACTATTCTCTCACTTCAATCAAGCTCGAATTTTAGGCTTCAATCGAGCTTCTAATTTTTTTTTGAGTTCAAGCCTTTTCGAGTTCAAGTTTCAATATTATATTTCGAGTTCGAGTTGAACTTGATAGATTTTAGCTTGTAAGTTTGAGTCGAGTTGAGCTTACTTTTAAAGTTTTCAAGTTCGAGTCGAGCTCAATAATACTCGAGTTTGACTTGGCTCGTTTAACAAACGACGTCGTTTGGTTTAAATTTAAAAAAAAAATTGGTGGTTTTCTTCGGTTTTCAACCGATCCGGTTGAAACGGTTCAACGGTTCCGACCTATTCACTAGTAACGATTCAATCGATGTAAATTAAACTGGACTATACAATGATTTTCGATTAAACCGGTTAAACCGACCGATCCGATCCAATTTTTAAAACACTACCTAAGAGAGTTTGATAACTGCCGCGAGTCGAGTCTTATTTTTATTAAATATATACCATTGGATTCGATATTAATTAGAGACCGATAATAAACCCGTGGGCGGATGAAATCAACTGCGTAGACGCGGCAAAAAGCAAAAACTTTTGTCTTCTTTCTCCTCGACAGATCTTCCTATTGTTTTGTTTGGTGAAAGTTTTTGGAGCAGCGGGAAAGATTCGCTTTCGGTCTGCCACTTCCCCGGGAAATAGTTAGCAGTCTTAATATATTATTAAAAAAATATGTTACGAATTTTGTTATTATTTAAATAATAAAATTGATAAAAATTTATCGAAAATATTATTATTTTTATCGGTTTCGTTATTATTGGATGTTTTACCAGATTTGGTAAAGCGCTATTAATTTTATTATTTTTTCTACTAGTTTTATTATTATTGGACACTTTTAATAGAAATGTTAAAAAAATTAATGTTTTAGTTAAAAATAATAATATTTTAAATAATTTTTTTATTAATTTTATTATTTAAATAATAACAAAACCGATAACATTTTATTTTAATATTATATTAAGAGGTGTCATGTATAAATTCCCCACTTCCCCGTCTTCTAATGCAGTGAGGCTAAACAACACTGATGGTCCTCGTTTTTTTTTTCAGTTAGCCGTTAACTTTTTTTAACTTAGGATGGTATGCTAGTAAAATTAATTTAATTTTAATTTAATTTTTAACTTTTATATAAAAATTAATTTAATTTTATGCTCTATATAAAATATTAATTTAACTTTAATTTTTTATTTAAAATATCAATTTAAATTTTGTATCCAGTTAAAGTTCATATTTCGTTAGTCGTTACTCTTTTATTATCATTGGTCATGCCTACCGTTGTCACTGATGACCATTGGACCAAAAAAATTTCAATTCACTTTTTTTTTAAATCTCTCGAACATAAATCCAATATTTGTTTCACTGAAAAATAAAATTTCAAAAATATAAATTTTTGAGAAATGAAAACAATTAAAGTGTTAAGAGTTTGAATCACATTTCTGAACGGCCTATCATGTAATTTGTAAACAAAAGAACAAACAGAATATTACTGAGTCAGGTAGCGCCCTGCTCTGTTCTCGAATAACCCATCAAAGAGTGAATCATGTTTAACTTGCAGACTGCCACGCCTAAGCTTAATTAACTTCACTAAACATACCAACACTCTCACAAAATGTCAATGTAAACTCCGACCAAAGCGGGTTTTCGATTCATTTCACGGCTCTTTTAGACTGATTTAGCTAAAGAAACCATGGAAGAAACGAGAAAGCTCCGTTTAGGGACTACGTTAACCCTGCAAATAGGGCAAGTCGTGCCAACTTTAACACATGCATCAATGCAACTATCATGAAAGCCATTACGATACCTTAGCCACCTGAGTTTCCCCACTTGGAGACTTCACTAATGCACACTACGCAATATTCAACTTTACGGCTGCTGCTTGACTGGTTTGATACTCGAAAACCATTTGTTATAATAATGAAAGCAACTGCTGACGCCAACCACGACTAGCAAAGCAGTAGAAACCAAAATTACTGAGAGCATATCTTTGGTTAATGCTAGTGTCTTTTTGTGTGTGTTTGCTATGGAAAAATGGAAGGGTTTTGAATAGAATTTTATGGTTGTGCTTGTTGGACTGGTAATTAAGCAGGGTGGTGGTGGTGGAGCCGTTGTATTGCTGTTGCTGCTGTGTTAACTGTAGTAGCAGGTGTCGGATACGTTAAGCAAGTATATAATACTTTCAAATAATAGATTTTACCCCTGTTTTTTATATTAATTTTTATTTTTATTTTTTAACCTTTTCAATTTTTATCTTTTATTTTTATGTGAAACGAATATCGAATTCACGTTCAAGAGCTAAAAAAAGAATGAATTTAAAATTTTGGGGTCCAATAATCATCGTCAATAGTGGTTGATGACTGGTGACGAAAATCGATAATGACCGATGACAGTGATGAGTGGCGATTAGCAACATGAACTTTGATTAGATTCAGGGATCAAATTGATATTTTATATAAAGTTTAGAGATTAAATTAATATTTTATTTAAATTTTAAGGTCAAATTAGTATTTTGTTTAAAATTTAGAAATCAAGTTAAAATTTATTTTTACTAAAGTGTCACATCAATAAAGTGATGAGAGTTAACGCTCAACGATCAAATAAGACGAACAAGAAATAAACCTTTTCAAAATTGGTGACCAAAATTGAATAAACAAAAATATAAGGACCGCCGATGTTATTTAAATTTATACACGAATCAAACGACCTTAGTAATTTAAAGATTTGTTATTACCCATTGAGGTCTCAAATTCAAACACCGCATATGTCATATGTATAAATGCTTGTTGTCAAAAAGATTGAAATTTTTTAAACATATACTATATTATATTTTAGTCAAAATTATATAAAAGCTGCTTAAATTTATGGAAATTACACATATGTTAAGGAAGCAAGAATGTTTTACTATGGTTTTAAAAACTGAGTAAACTATTTATTTGGATACTCATCTATTATTTAATTTATATT